CCCCCCCCCGCCTTTGCTGTGGGGACACAAAGGACTTTTGTCTTTCCTCAAGCCTTTGCCACTGCTTTTGTTTTTCTAGGCGGCTGCGGCGCCATGTATGAAATTCACATCGAGTCGGAGGACTTCAAGGAGAAGCGGACAGTGCAGCAGCACCAGATGGTTAACCAGGTGAGGGGGGGGCTCTGGGTGCGTGTGAGTGAGTGTGCGCAGCACTTAACGCTGGTGCTGTGTGTGCTGCACTTTGTAGTTGTGCACAGCACTTTAGTTCAGCATGTGGATTGTACGTGTGCAGCACAAATTGCTGTGTGTGCACATGCACAAACAGCGTGCAAAACTGAAGTGCTGTGTGCACACACATGTGGTGCCTGGTTGAAGTGCTGTGGGCTCAGCTCTGAGTGCTGCATGTGCAGGGTGAGTGTCCTGAGTGAGTAGTGTAGTTCTTCCCAATAAAAACCAGTGTAGCTGTTCAGCACTCTGGCTGTAGCACAGCACTTCTAGTTGGGTGCTTGGGTGGTGTGTGTGTGTACACATGGTCATGTGCTGCACATGCACCCTCAGGGAGAGGACTAACTGCTGCACCTGCATGCAGTGTTAGTGTCTTACAGTATAGCCCCCCCTTTTTTTCCTTCCCAATAAATAGTGTTGTTCTGTGTGTGTGCATGCAGCACTTAGTGGGGCATGTTGGGTGGCTGGGGTGTGTATGAGCACACAATCCTCTCCCTGTGAGTACTGTGCCTCACAGCCCATCCCTTCCTTGCCAGTAATAAGAGTGTAGCCCTTTTATATTTTTTTTTTAAATGAAGAAAGTGTAGCTCTGTGTGTGCATAGCCCTTCCTTGTTGGGCACTCTGGTAATGTGCAAGTATCTTTTAATAGCATAACCTTCCTTCCAGTAATAAAGGAACATCATAGCCAACATAGTGTAGCACTGGGGCAGTGTGAGTGTATGCAGCACTTGGCATAGCTAGGAGAAGGGTGTACAGTACTGTGTGCACACAGTGCTTAGTGACTACTACACAGCCACCACTTTTTGTTCTGGTGTTGCACCTGACCCTCAGAGCTGCCCTGTTTGTTGCAGGCACTGAGTGAGGAGATCAAGAGCATGCATGGACTGCGCATCTTCACCTCCACCCCCAAACCATGATGATGCTGCTGCCCAGTCAATAAAGATGCTCTCACTGGGAGGGGCTCTGTGCTGATGATGAGCTGGCAGCTGCTTCCCACCTGCCAAGAAAAATTTCCCCAAGTGCTGCATTTTCAATTAAGGCACCTGTGCAGGGCTGGGGGGCTGCCAGGGGAGGGGGGAGGAAGAGACTCTTCCTCTCAAAGGACAGCAGGAAGGAGAAACTTTATTATTGCCTTGCCACACAGTAGGGTCCCTTCCTCAGCCCCCCACAACCATGCTGGGAACACCAGGGAGCTGCTCTTTAGGGCCAGGCACTTCTTTTCCTCCCCCCACAACATTGCTGCTGCCAAAGGGGAGCTTAAGGCTCAAGTGCACCTCTTATCAAAAAAAAAAGCACTTCAAAAATAAGCTGAGTCACTCTGGGCTTAGCCTTGATCAGGCTGCTCATAGGCCAAGCACTGAGTCCATGGGGTCCAGAGGAAAACTTTGGGAGTAGAATGCAGCTCTGCAGCATATGAACTTTACCCCATGCCTGGGGGAAACAAAACCTGAGTCCAAGGCAAGTCCCATCCTCAGCCAGACTAGAGCACAACACAGGCTGTGGTGGTGGCTGCTGCTGCACTGTAGAAGCGATGCTTGGCCTCTGAGACTGATGCCACTCGGAGCACTGCCTGGCATCTCAGGGCTTGCATCGCTGAAGGTGAAGCATAGAAGTGGCTGGCGTACAAAGCAGAAAGGAATGGCTGAAAGGGTCCACCCAGGGAGAGTTTATCTGTCCTTGGAGCCCAGCTTCTCAATCAGTTCCTGCAGAGGAGCCAACTCCCGCCTGTCGATCAAGTTGAATTCCTAGCAGGGGAAAAAAAACAGCACAAAAACTAAAGGCACCTCTCAAAGAGCTGCTGGAAAACACATCCAGCCACCATATGCATGCTGGGAAGTTGCTGTGTCAGTGCATGCCAGCTCCCAAGAGAAACACTAAACAGGCATTGCTGCAGCAGCCACCTCTCCCATTTCTCTGTGGAGAAATTCAAGCAGTAAGACAACAAAAAACTTTATGCCATGTTGCTGAGAAGTACCATGCTGTGCTGCATGCTGAGTTGCATATGTGGTCACAGGACAGGCTGTTGAAACACTGTCATGGGGGGGAGAAAAAAAGGTGCTGCTGCTATTTCCAAGTCAATTCTTCAGCTATAAAACGCCCAAGTTCTCCTCCAAGCCTGGTCTCTTTTGCTGCAGGCCAATAGCTAAAACCTCAGAGGGACATTCAAGCATTGAAAGCCAACTGTGCCACACTTCCTGCAAAAAAACCCAAACCCAACACCACAAACCCACAGCACTGCAGCTGCACAGTTTGCATGGTACAGAGGGCAGGAGCTGAGCCTATCTTCCAGCACATGCCACAGCTGTAGATCTTCAAAGAGCAAGGAGGCGCTTAAAATCCAACTCCCTTTAAAAGCAAGTGGGGAACAAGAAACCCCAGAGGCAGGCAACTGGCCACCATTTCGCAACTCACCTGCACAAAGAAGATAAAGTGCTTGAAGGAGGTGTTGAGGTGGGCTTCCTCCTGCAGCCGCATGACGGAATCGAAGTGCTGGTGGTAGATGTGAGCGTACACGCGGAACAGCCGCTTCAGGATCGTCTTGGCCACTGACATGAAGTTCTTGGGAAAAGGGACACCTGAAATGCACCAACAAGCACTGCTAAGTCCTTTATTTTGGTCAGAATTACCAAAACAAGACATTCCAGCAGTGTCTTAGTCCTGTACGCGAGGCTCATTGCATCACGCAGCTGCACTTACCGATCTTTGAAGGGAAGAGCGTTTCATCATCCAGCTGGTCCTGGACCCACGTCATCAAGTAATCAATATACTTCGGAGCCGAACACTTGATCGGCTTCTTTATGTTGGTGCCGTCTGCCCAGTGGTACTCGTACCTGCAGGGAGAGGGAAGGAAAATAAATCCTTTGCTCCAAGAATAAAAATGGCTTTTCCGGGCTCCTCCTGGACTTTGGCACGCCCTCTCTCCTCACACAAGATGGCTGACATCCCCAGGAGACCATCCCTGGGGTCGCACATTAGCCAAAGACTTTTAGAAGCCACCACCTGCAAATCGACACACGTGCTTATCGATCTGACTGCTCCTCTGAACTGGGGCAGACATTGACTGTAATGCTACACGACAACACAACCTGCTTTCTCTGCAATCTTTTGCAAAATCCTTCAAAAGCAGTGGGAAACCCCCCCCCAGGTTTTGACTGTCGCCTCTCGACCAACGACAAGCGAAAAAACCCAGTGCCGTTTCAACAGGAAATCGTTACAGGAAATGTCCCCAAATATAGAAACAGGAACTTGCAATCTAGATAATTCTGTGTAGAAAAGCGGGGCAGGATGTTACACGGCACCCTACAAATACTGCCCACCGGCCAGACTCCACACTGCTATCCCGAAAAACAAAATGCCTCAAGCAACCTTACAGACAAGATACCCTGCTGCAGCTTCACCTCAACAAAATACACAAGTGCAGAACCAACATATCATCTTCTCCCCGCGGGTATTGACACCTCCTAAAAACAACGGGGTGCCCCAGATACACTTTCGCTATTTGCTTTCCACACTCCATGATGCCCCAACCTTCTCTGACAAAAAGGTTATGCTACATCAGCTAGGTAAACGTGCCTCCTGAAGACCACCGCCCGTGCTTCTCACGCGGGCACCCGCACAAATCAAGGGACAACAGCCCCTAAAACCACCTCGGGACAACGCACGCTTTGTGCGTTTTCACGGCCTGTGCCAAGATAAGCATACTTGAGGCCAGGCTGATTCAACAGGGCGGGCACAGGGATCGGCAGGACACAAAAGACACTCAGCCATTCCCTACTGCATGCACCAGTCACTATGAGCACGAGGTTTCCTTCCCAGCTCTAACTCTCCGCAACGACGGGCTGCCCTCTCCTCCCTGCACAGCTGTCACACATGCCATACAGTAACCCGACCAGAGCGTTCGCCTGCCTCATGTCCTGCCCCGTGCTGGCAGCAGCACCTTTAGAATCACTTGTGCTCTGAAAAAAATCACACTACGGCCTCTCCGAGCATCGGCTCTGTGACGGAGAACAAGAGGTTACTGTAAGACTTTGACAGCAAGACCAGCTGCTTCCAATCAAGTTAGATCTCTCATTTTCCTTAAAATAAACCATTTTGACAACACATCTTTTCAGTTTCCAAACAACGTAGGGTCTGGATCGACAGGGGGAAAAGAGATGCCCACGCATGCTTCCCCTGGTCAGGTAGTCAACACACCAGACAAACCAACGGCTACCAACGCCACGCAGCCCAACAGACAGCTTAGCTTTGCACGTGGGTACACAGCACCAGGGAGCACGACGGTGCGCCTCGACCCGATCTGGACACGTCCCATCCTCTTTACATCTTCTTTCTACACACGCTCGAGCAACCCGCGCCCCCGTCTGCTTCCCCACATTTCAATTGCAGCTGTAGACTGCGGTAAACTTCTTACCTCGGTCCTGCAGACATGACCGGACAGCTCGCCTCCGTGCAGAACTCCGTAATGGTCCCATACAGCATGTTGATTTGGTTGAAGAAATCCACCGCTGGAAAGGAAACGGATCAAGTTTACTCAAAATGCAAACGCAAAGCGGACCGGAGCGCTGGTTCGCTCTCATTCAGCTGTCACAGGGGTGAACGTGCCACAAAGCTCTCAGTGAAAACAAACATCCCCCTTCCGTACGATGTCATGTGGCCGATGACTTCGAGACATTTCAGCCATCTAGGAATTTGAATCACTCTGTCAGTTTTTCACCGTCAGGCTACTGCCCCTAGCCAATTTGTACAGCATGAAGCTCCACTTAGCCTTCCGTACCTTGGAAATTACTGCTTTAGGTTCCAGACACCTTTAAAAAAACGACAGTACATCAAAACCCCGATTGATTTTGATAATACAAGAGGGACCTTCCTTAGGTTAAACACTTGTGGCCTGACTTCCTGTCTTCCATCGCTCAAAACTGACTCTTCTTCCTCCTCTAACCTCTAAAGAAACATAGTTCAAGGCCAGGGAGAGTGACTGCTAAAAGCAAAACAGGTTTGAAGTATTTGTTTTTTTAAACTATGCATGCAGCAACAATAAAATGAAAACAGACAACAAAAAAGAAACTCCACAAACCTAGAGTTCAGTGGACAATACGGTTCCACTTCTTCCCTGGACTATTCACTGCCACCATTTTTGCAGCCGACAATGCTAACTTTGTAACTCCAAATATCAATTCTTGAGGCTAACTCCCCAGTACAAAAATAACCATTCACAAACCTCATCACCTTTGTAAGTCTGAACTCAAAAAAACCCACCCCAAAACCACAATTGTGCAGGTTTGTTTCTCACTTTTTGCACACTTCCAGAGCGCAACACCCCTTTGACGCAGGACCCATCGGCACATCGCGCCACTTCCTTTCCTTTTATCCCAACTCCGTTACTTAAACAGAGCATGCCTGGAATAAGAATTTCATCTGGGGAATTTCTAGGTTCTTTAAAGGAAAAAACCCAGAGATTTTTGGTTTTCCCACTCCACCTCCATGCTTGGGCAGATCCCTCTTTCATAGGGCTTACTGTTAACTGCGATCCACTCGTTAAGGTCCTCTCCCTCCGGCAACATAACCGCTTGTCTAAGGTTACCGCTCCCCAGAGTCGCTTCCGCATGTTTCAAGAGTTCATACTGATGGGAGCCTTCGGGAATGTTCTTCTTGGGTTTGAATGTTTTCGAAGATCGACTCCCACTGACAAGACAGAAAACATTTCCAGTTAGTCCTTTAACAGCATTCTCTTCCCAGAAACATTTCCCATATTACCCCTTACCATCCAGCACTTTTAACCAAGGGGACACCGGCCCTTCCCCTTTTCCCCCACCATCAGGGTGAACAGATCCTGCATGCAAGCTGAAGCATTTCTGATGGCATTGCAAAAAAGCCACCTGCACACTTCCCTCTTTCGTCTACCCTTTTTAAAAAACACAAACATTCTGCACAAAGGACCAAAGACTCATCAAGCAACAGTTGCTTGCAGTCATGGAAAGAAAAGCCCACGTAACTCCACCAGGGAATGAAACGACCTGCCGACTGCCACTAGGTCAGATTGACAGCGGCAAATATTAGGTACTCAGCACTCAAACGCACCGTAGGAAACAGCTTGCTAAAAATAGCAACTTAATAGACTCCAGCCCTGAAATGCAAATCGTCATCATAATCTTCCCTCTCCGTGTTGTACTGACAGCTGTGCTCAGCAGCCGAGCCATCGCACAACTCCTCACCGAACTCCTCCCGGTTCCTCCAATGGGGCCGGCAGTACCGCAGCCTCTCTCCAAACAGCCAACGCTGCCAAAAACTGGATGAATTTTGATACCTCTCAACCACAAAACATTAACTTTCAGACCCCACCAACTCTCTGCTTCTGAGCAAGGGTGAAGCAAACAATAGGACAAGCAGGGCCAAAGCAAAGCTCGGGGGAAACGGGCTTCTCTGGCGCATGCCGCTCGGCATCGCCGGCATCCTGCCCCCGTTGCACGCAACCGGACGCATTCGGCTGGCACGTGCCTCATGGCAGCTTCCTGGTGCAACCTTACGGCTTTGCACACCCTGTTTACGTGCAGCACTCGGTGCGGAAGTGAAAGACCTTTAGATCCAGCTCACTCTTAAACCAAGCCTCTGCCTCCTGCTACAGCCGAAACGCAGGCCCAGCACGTCACCGACCCTAGGCAGAGGGTTCCAAAAGGCAGACCCGGCACATCATCAGCCCTAGGAAGAGGGTCCCCAGCCCCTTCTTACACCACAGAATGCCTCCAGTCCTCATCCACAGCACCCACCAGGCCTTAAGAGCCAGAAGCCCTCTCTCACTTTACAAGCCTTCACATCTACAACACAGGTATGCAACAACACACCCCCTGCAGCTTGCTAAAGATACATTTTGTACACCACATGCTCGTAGGTTTACCACATTAACAGCATTTCCCCTGCAGTCAGGCCTGCCCCACCTCACAGGAGGGCAGCCCATCACACAGACACCAGCCAGCACCAAGAGCCCACACCCTTTGCACTGCACCAGAGCTTGCCCACAGATGTAGGGTAAGGCCCACCCAAACCCCACCCAGAGGGCAAAGGCCTTACCCTAAAGCCCCCTCCCAACTCCCAGGGCCTCCCACTAAGGCAGAGCACACCTGCAGACACCCCTACCCCCTCAGGGCCTCCCCCAATTCCCCTGGAAGACCAACCCGTCAAATTCTCCCCACCTGGGAGGGATTAACCCTCACAAGACAGCCCCTCCCCAGAGCCTTCCCCCTAAGACTAACCCCCAAAAGGCTTCCCCTCCCCTCATACACTCCCAAAGCCCCCCGCCACCCATTCTCCTCCATGGCAGTCACCCAACATGGGCGCTCCCAGGCCATCCTGCTGCCGCTGCCAGTCCCCCTCCACATCCCGGCCTAGGACCCTACCTCTGCAAGGCACCCTCTCTCACCCCACCTTCCTCCAAGGCTTCCTCACAAAAAAACCACTAGAGCCCCAGGGTTTCCTCCACAGGACTACACTCCTCCCCATGTCCCTCCAGGGCCTCCTCCCCAAGCCCTCCTGGTACACCCCCGGGGACTCTTTTCAAAGCCTTTCCCCCTCCATACACACTCAGCCCTCCCCAAATCCTCCTCAAGCCCCACGTGAGCCCCCAGAGCTTCTGCCCAAAGCCCCCGCCCCCAGGCCTTCCTCCTAAAACTTCCCATTAGAGCCCTCCCGGGCCTCACCACAAGGCCTTCCTCAGCTCCTGAGTACCGCTGAGGCCTCCATCCCCCCCAAAATCCTTCCTCGAGGCCCTTCCCTCAGAATCCCACCTCACACCCTCGCCACGACACCTTCCTCAAGA